CGGCGTGGGTAGATACGCATGGAGAACCTTAACTCAGTGATGTTGTGCCACGAATTTATTCCAGATTGGCGTTTTAGCATGGACAGCTGCAGGTGTATATCCCAGTTTCGGCTTCTGATCGAATATATAAAGTCTTGCAAAATTTTCCCGCGCATGTGGGACATGAATAAAGATTGTATCAATATCATGCAGGAAATGTTATATTACAGGTAGGTAGAGCGACTAAGGCCATAGTGGAACCTGCTAATGACGATTACTCCATGTCAGGGTATATGCTGTACAGTGATAACTTTTTCCAAAAAGGCAAATTGTATATACGGAGATGTATAATTACTTAGAAATAAGACTAAACAGGGACTCTGACGAATTTTTTCTGTTCTTTCTTTAGAGTTCTTAAGTTTATTTTCTTTTGGTATTTTTTAGCTACCTTGCTGGCTAATGACACATTTGCAATCAGCACTGTAATTTGCTTGAAAACTTCCAAAGGTGTATAGTTGAACCCAAACAGGTGTTAATTACTAGTCATTTTAGATAGGGTTGATAGCAAAATCTACACCATTGACTTATTTTAGCTTAGCCACTGGACATTTTATGATAAATTTGCGTTAAGAAACGTAGTATTGTAATAATGTTGTCGATATAGGCATTGCTACAGGGGGGGGGGTTCTACTGTAGTTTCAATATTCCATGCATATCCTGTACCATGGAATAGTCAGCCTAGTGCTCACATCTACCATACCATTGTACATATATATGTACATCAGAGTACCTATCTGAATTTCATAACTTCTCCCTTACATAATATTCGCCACCTGAAATTTGATTTGTGGAAATCATAAGTGTGCTGAGAAGACTACCGGATCGGGGTTTGAATAGATCAGGGTGAAAGAAAGCAAGACTTGGCAGCACGAGAACGACTTGCGAACACGAACCTGATTGCACTCCTACTGTCCAATTTCAGAATCAAAATCAAGATCTAGGCGAAAGACTTGCTCCAATTCTGTATTTTGCCGTCGAATAACGGACAGAACGTGCGCATACTTTCGAACTGGTCACACCACTGTGCCCGCCTATCCATACCATCCAATGTCGACTTTCAACTACATAAAAGTCAGCGGCGAAAGCTCCGGAGATGCATCAATTGCAGATCCAGATAGTCACCGAGAACCATCACGACCCACAACGTATTCCCGAATCTGCAAGATACTTCGATTCTCGCGATGGCTATTCACACTCGTACTTCTCGTTGCCATCCTTCTATGCCAGCTATTGATCCTGAATCGGCAACCGGACCAGCTGCAACTTGGAGGAGAGCTGAATTCGCTCATAACAAACTGTAAGTGCTGAGCAAAGATTAGCAGGCGTGCCTGAAATATAGACTGATTGCATGCCAAGTTTCCAAGCAGCAAAAGATGTTTAGAGAAGACCGTAGGTTCACCTCAGATCACAAGACCCCAGCGTCCGTCAATGCCACAAAGCAAAACTGGCTCAATCTGTTCCCTCGTATGTTTTCCTCAAAGAAAAAAACCCCCTTACCAGCGTATTCTAATAACCATTCGCAGGCGGTAATGGATTCCTCAACATCCCCAACTACGCAGACTACAACTTACCCCCACCCATGCACTTCCACGCAACACCAGGACAGCAAATCTACGCCATCGCCCTATTCCACGAGCTCCACTGCCTAATGTCCATCTCGGGCTTCATGGACAAACTCGTGCTGCAAATGCGGCGCAAAGACTTTACACTCTTTGACGAGGAGATCGAGCACAATGACCATTGCTTCAATTACCTGCGCAACGCAATCATGTGTTTTGGAGACACTACCTTGGAGGGGCAATCGCAAGACCCCCTATTTCAGGATGTTGCGGGAACGGATGGAACGGGGGCGCTGCATATATGTCGGAATTATGATGAGATTTTTGCTTGGGCGGGTAAACATAAACTTCATTATGAGGATGATGAACAGGGGCTTGGGGATCACCATCATTGATGCGATATAGGCTGTATAAAAATATGTAGAGGGACATGGTACTCTGATGAGATTGACTTGCCACCTACAAATCAACTCGTACTCTTACTCTTCCAATACACCATAGAAACTGCGCTGAATGTTTCTGAATCTTTGTGTGTGAATACTGTTGTGAATTACATTTACCATGATGATACAGAATGAGCTTACGGCCAGATAATCTTAAGCTTCACTCCTTATCTGTAGCCCTCATCTTCCCCACCGTTACTAGATAACTTGTCAACTTCGATCTCTGAGTAATATATATGAGAAGAGACACCAGACTATATTCTGATTTGTGGCTGATCATAGTGAGCGGCTAGCGACAATGAGTACTGGGTGGCTTATTTAGGTAAATGTCTCTTTCACAGGTTCAAGACCAGCTATATTTCGCAGGTGATATCAAGTGCCGTTACATGTTCACCACTCCACTCTCTTTAGCCAGCACATCCCATCCTACCAGGCGCCATACCTCCTGCTTATACCATTCTTCCACATTTTTGTCTTCGACCTTAGCTACATTTTGGAGAGAACCCACTCGCATTGCTGGCACGGGTTTCGTGAGGACATCAAGAAACTCGTCCTCGACTGCGTCACCGTACATGCATGTGACTAGCGTGCGTTGAAGTCGCTCTTTTGCAATTGGGCTCAGGCGAGCACGTGAATTTGTCGGCAAAGTCTTAGTACTCAGTGTACGAGCCAGATGCGCAGACGTTTTTATCGGGCGGCCAGTTTGGGGATTCATGTGGTATGGCGCCAACCCCATCGCTCGTTCGAGTATCAGGACGAGCGACTTCAGTTCCAAGCGAAGAGCAAGTGCTGTAGACTCGTCCTTCACGGTCCGCACCGACTTGGCATGATCTAAACCAGATAGAATATTTACCTCGACAGTAGTGCTTCGGTGATGCCCAAACGTGCAGTAGTAAAGCCTTTGCCCAACACGCTCAAGGAGAACGAAGACAAACCCATCAAAAAGCTTCTGATGGTTGACGTCTGATTTTTCTAGAAGCCCGAGAAAGCCCACCAGGAGTTGAGCAATAGCTCGAGCTGCTTCACATTCTTTGGGACAATGATCTACCATCGCTGGCTTGCCTTTTTTCACCCGGTTAGGCTGCGAGACGACCAGCTCCACTGTTTGACGAGCCGACCATTGAATTGCATCCAATGCGCACTTGAACGTCTCCACAAGCTCACAAACTACTAGGGTTGGCATCCGGTTGTTTGTATCAGCACTCGCAAGCTTACCAATGCCGACGAGTATCGACATGAATGCTCTTGCGCATACGGACAATGCAATCGCAAAATCTGATTTGTCGTGATCTAAAGACCTAGGCTCCGAATTCCCTAACCCCCTGCACGATAGCTGCTCGTAGTTGCGGGCTACAACGCGTATCACGCTGTTGAGTGCTGTGGAGGTCTTCACGAGACTGAGACATAGTGTACTGGATTCTACGTTAGAGGCTCGACATAAACTGTGTGTCGTGAACAATGCCTTTGTCAAGCATGCACCATCTATGAAGAATGTCAGCATCTGTCCAGATAGCCCGGATGATAGCCTACCGTGTCCCAGGGCATCAAGAAAATTCGAGTCGTCATCCATCGTATCCTGAGTCTCTACAACTGATTGCTGGGGTGCTTTGTGTTGTGGTCGCTTCCTTAACTGAACTAGCGAAACTGCCCGCCCTTTGCGTCTTGGAGAAGCTGGTATCTGAACATTGCTATCATCCGTTGGTCGGTCGATGCGAGCGGTGAGATTGTGATTTGATCGCTCGAGTTTGATATTCGAACTCTGCAAGCGGTCGCATTCCTCCTGTACTCGTCGACATTGGTCTTGCCAGTATGCGACCAGATCGATGTATTGGCTCGATTGCTGCTGCAAAGCTACTTCTGTTCCTTGGCGCGTATGCTGGCGTAGCTGTGAAATGTAGTCTGTGGCGCTGAGTTAGTAGCAACATGCAATGGGATCACAGCAACTCTTACCTCGTACGGATACATTGGACGGCTTCAAGCGGATAATTGCGATGGCAAGGGCGGTCTGCTCGAGCGTGGGCAGCTTTATGGACAGAAGGGTAGAGGCAGTTCGATTCATTTCCGATGCCTTTTATCCTGGCGTCTCGTGCTGTAGTGAGCTGTAGTGTGATGCCGAAATGGCAGATTGGTCCAAAGGAGAAGTAGGAGAAGCCCTTGGGCTTATGGTCGACATACTCGATTCCTTGGGAAATGTGGGGTTGCAGACATGCAGAAGGAGCGACTGAGCACACGCAATAGTCCCGCAAGAACACAATGGCGAGGGACAACATCGAGCATATCTAATCTCGGTAATATTGCAGTATGATACATTTGGTGGATTTTACGTACGTCTTACATGTCGTTAGGCTGCGGGTTAGTGAATCTGTGCCCTTCTTACCGCATCCGCTCCGTTCGCCGCTTATATGGTAATGGCTCCACTCTCTTCCTCTTGAACTCCACTGCAATCTGGTCTGCGAGACCAGCACGTTGCATCACATCCGCCATGCTATCATCCCATTTGGTGCGGAAGAGCGTGGCGGTAATTGGGCTCAGCTTATGAGTATCAACGAAGCTGCGAAGATTGAACCTGTCGCGTTTTGACTGGCTAACCTTCGTGACGTCCAGAGCTTGTGCATCTTTTTGGTCAAGTACGAAAATGGCAAGACGGTGGTAGGGCGCACCCTTGTGGGCCCAAGGTGCAATCCACGGCAAGGCAATCTTCTTGGCTGCTGCGTCTTCGGCTTTCTGGTCCTCGTGCGCGATCAAATGAAAGGGGATCGAGGTCTGTGTGGGCGAGAGAGGAATATTGCAGGCAATGAAATGGCATCTGTAGGTGAAGCTGTCTGTCTCGGGTACTGGAACGTCGGCATCTACGACTACCACGGTGACCTTTTTCTCTCCAGGGGTGAAAGTTTGCACGTTGAGGCGAGGCATCTTCTCGCTGATGGCCGAGCCAACGAAGTCACCCGGGCTTACAGACTTCCGTCCAAATGCTAAATCTACGTCTGCTACTATGTCCAAGGTGGGCAAAAGATCGGGGATGATAGCCAACTGGGTGACGCGCTGCTCAAGCACCAGACGCTTGTACTTGCGCCACTTCTGTTCGGCCAGATATCGATAGATGGGCTTGTTCATGTCGCCTGAAACAGAGGTTAGCTAGGCTCTTTGTTTGGATGCGCCTTGTAGCCTACCTTGTCCGTCCTCAAACTTCCTCTTCACGACAGGGTCGTTGATGTCGGCGAGAATGATAAGCTCGTTTAGATGATTCTTCATACTCCGCAAACGAGCCTGCTTGGCTGCGGGACCTCCACTGACCGCGGGGTCCTGCTGCTCAAGGTTCTTGATTCTCAGCTGCTGCGTTTCAATCTCCTTGATCTTCTCCTGGCGGTCCTGCAGTAGCACCTTCCTGGCCTCCTGAAAACACTGATACGGCAGCTGCTCAAACGGAATCTCGACAGCCTTCTGGAGAGTAGTCCGCCGTAAGGCCGCACGACGACGGCGTGACCCCACGGGTTGGACATGTTCTCTTCGCAGCAACCGCCGCTCCTGCTTCTTGTTTTCTACCATCTGGGGGTCGAGCGTGCCCCACTTCAGCATGTACTCGGGCGTGTCCTGGCGATCCGCATTCTGAGCAGCGGTCGCGGAAGATTCTGAGGGCGGTGGCGGTGGCGTGCTTGTCGGCGTCTGCTGCTGCTGTTGCTGCTGCACTACTTCCTCACGGACGGCGGTCGTGGATGAAAAGAGGCGTCGCGCGGTGCCATTGGCCGACGAGACTGGTCGCACGCATTTCAAACACGTGCTGAACTGGCGCAGCGACGGCGTGACGGATGCCATAATGTCGGTGAGTATGGTGGTGAGCGCGTTGGCCGCGGGCAGAGGGCAATATCCTGACCATGACGAGGTTCGAAAATGAGGTGGAGCGCACGGACCTTACTTTTTCCTTCACGTAAACCTCCGCGCCATCTCCGCAACGACGAAAGATGTGGACAACCCCAGCAGGCATGGCTTCCACGAGGATATCAACGCCAATGCGGGGCGCCACATGCACTCTCGGCCGGCTGTCGACACGGAACGGCCATTGGGACACTTTCAGACACCTCCCACTTCGCCCATCGGCCCTCACAGCCCTCACAACTCTCCAGAATTACCCCCCCGGCACGTCTCCCACCCGCTCTATCACAACCTCCATATCTTCGCGAGCCTCGGTATCCGACATCACCACATCGGTCGACGATTATGTGCCGATCAAGCCCTTTGAACAGCAGACGGTGCTCGCGACCATCCACCGATTCCCTTCTCTCGAACCCCTTCGCTTCCAGCAATATCCAGCCAACCACCTCTATCTACCCACCCGGCGAGATATTCTACATCGCGCCATCGTCTACGAAGGAGACAATACCCGCCTGGGCACAGCTTCTACCAAGACCAGATATGAGATCCGTGGCTCAAGGAAAAAGGTTCGGCCACAGAAGGGCACTGGAAAGGCTCGTCTAGGAGACAAGAAATCGCCCATGCTGCGTGGCGGAGGTGTTGCTTTTGGCCCCAGACCGCGCGACTTCGGCACCGACTTGCCGAAGAAGGTGTATGATCGTGCGTGGCGGACCGCATTGTCATATCGATATCGCAAAGGTGAACTGATCATTGTGGACAATGCCATGGAGATTGAAAGCCCATCGAGCCGGCTGTTGGAAGACATTTTCAAGCACCAACAAAAGCAGCTAGGAAAGGGAAGAAGTCTTCTGGTCACACTGGAGCAGCGACCCTTGCTCGAGCAAGCATTGGCCGACATGGATCGTGAAGAGCAAGCCCTCACGTGGGAGGAAGTTGATGTCAAGGACCTTTTGGAACTCTCTCGTGTCATGATCGAGCGGGAGGCTCTGCACAACATCCTCCTCAGCCACCAAGAAGACATCACCCACAAAGCCCTCCAGCCATGGCACAAGAGCTTGGTTCGGGCATCGCCACCAAAGGAGCTCGAGTCAATTATTGGATGGCAGGAGTTCCGCGACCTGGCACTCAGCGATCCTGCCGAAAAGGATGTAGCTCGTGCGACTGTCTATGAAGATGTAGCAACGAATCGTTACACCCATGCACAATCATTACTCCACGGTCCTAACCGCAACGAACTCATGATATCCTCGTACAACCTTTTAGCCGAAGCCAAGGAATTCCATTTTGCCCGAGCAACTGGCCTCTCATTCAAGGACTACTTGCAAATAAGGGCAGAAAAAGGCCCTTCGAAGATCCCATCCATTTTCCCTCGTATCCAGGCGCTAGACTATCAGATCACCGTCAAGACTGAGAATGCGACCACATTGGCCGAGACATCCAAATTGAAGAGCGAAGAGGTTACCGTGGCAGTGCGGGAGCTCGCGGTCGAGAAGCGCGAGGTCTTGTATGAGGCCGCCCTCCTCGCTGCACAGATTCATGAACACGTGGCCGAAGCCCAGGGGCTCCAAGGCGAGGCGCTTGCAGCAAAGCGGTCATTAGCACGGGCTAGCGACGAGCGAACGAGAGTCCAGCACTGCGAAACACGATTGCTCGAGGCGAAGCTTCACCTGGCCAAGCAGAAGCTTGTTGTGGCAGAGCAGAAGCGCTTTGGTGAGCGCAAGGCGCGAGACGAGGTGCAGCAGTGCACAGAGTTGTTGGCGGCGAGGCACGCAGCAAGGAAGGCGTCGAAGGGTCAAGTGGAAAGATTGGGTGATGCGCAAGAGGCAGAGAGTGGGGTGGCTACCGCAGAGAAGGAAGGTCTCCAGGAGGACTCTGTTGTTGACATGAAGCATCCGGAGAAGCCGGTGGTCGAGATCAACCAACCAGAGGTCAAAAGTCAGGAGAGGATTTGAGAGTAGCTACTTTGAAAAACTTGTGTATCGTACAATGTATCTATAAGCAGTTTTTAGTGATCGCGACACATCTATCCGTCACTATAGTGGCTGGTTTGTTACATGCTGTAGTGCTGTACATGATGTTCAAATCAAAGCTTCCGATAGATCCCTTCTGCCTTCTTGCCTACATGTTGTATGTGGCCCTGCGACCCGACCATTTGACGGCGCAAGCTGTCGGACTGAGTCGTGCAGATATTGCTTTTGCGCTTGTGGCAGATATGTTGACGCTGCACTTTGTTCTTGTGTGTTTCTCCGCGAAAAACCGCCGTGCTCGGGTCTTTAGTTCTCTGCTTCCTCGTTACCCCCCTCTTTTTCCTTCTTCTTCTTCTCTGCCTTGATTTTCGGGCCCTCGAGAACGATGACCATTACCCCTCCAATCGGCCCGTCAACACTCTTCTCCGTCGCGCCCTTGCACTCAGCGACGGTGTCGCGAATGGCCTTCATCACTGCCGCCGCCTCTTCTTCTGTTGCCTTCTTCCCGCGCCTCTTCGGGCCAAGGGTAATCTCCACCTTCCTGCCCTCCATCAAGAACTCCTTCAACCTCTCCATCCTATGCTTCAAATCCCCGCCCGCAATGGCCCAATTCAATTCCAAGCTCTTTCCTATGGGGCCCGTTCCCTGGCCCTTGGCTTCACGGCGCTCGATCTCAAGCTTTCGCTGGTGTTGGGCGCGCAGGTCGATTTTGGAAGTCACGCGACATATGGGGAGATTTTCGGGGTCGAGGTTGCCCGACTCGTCGACTTTACCCGGGGTCAATTGAACAAGGTGGTGTGTTACCTTGTCAAAGGACCTCAGCGCATCTTCGAGGGAGACATCTTTGTGGAAGGTGCCGTCTGCGTCGACAAGGTTGATGTAGTCGGCTTCGATGGCACGATCTATAACGTAGTAGTCACTGAGAGCCTGGCGACGCGTCTCCTTGGAGTATTTCTTCTCGCGGATGGTGGTGCGGGAGATTAGGGAGGGCGTGGAGATGGAGCTGGGTGGGTTCGAGGGTGCGAATGCTGGGGCATAGAGGAGCGAGATGGAGCTGGTGGCGCGGAGATTGGGGGCCACGAAGACACGGTAGAGGGCGCGCGAGGTGCCTGAGATGTGTGTGGGGGGCATCTTGGAATGGTGAGGAATGAGGAGGGGTTTGCCAATGGGATGTGGTAGAGTAGGTAGGGGCAGGTGATTTGGAGTAGTTCTAGTGTCGGAGTCCAACAGCGCCTTGCCGTGGTATCAATGTACCTAAGTAGTAGTATGTACTTGGATCCGAGCTAGTAGAGTAGTTGGAGTAACGTAACCCAACGTGACTTGATCGACTTGGGACGTTGGACTTAGTCGAATCCGGAGAGAAGCGACCCCCGAAGAACGCCCCGCGCTCACCCCCGCCTCTTCTCACATACCTTGGTGACGGGCGTCAGATCGGGGGAGCATGCGCCGTACAGCAACCACAAGATGAACTCACCAGCCGACGACGCGCATTGCTCTCTATTGTCCTTGCTGCATACATTCAGCCAGCCTTGAAAGCGAAAGCCACAGCCCGAGCCCACCATGAGTCATCCGCTCGCCGACTATCTCTCTGCGCTCGAGGCTCGTGATGCGCGTGAGCAGGCCCACGCAGCCTATGTGCATGCATGCAAGTCTTCGCCCCTTCACTCTCCACCGCGCAATAGGCATGAGCTGACCTGAGGTAGACACCAGACTTGCCGACCGCACAGCAGCTTCGGCACGCACCAAGGACAGCGCCGCTGCGTCGGCTCATGGCCCCTCGCCCGCTTCAGAGGCGCAACTACGCTCCGAGTTGGCTTCGACGCATCGCACACGCAGCGAGCTCGAGACCAAGCTCAGCGCACTCTCCACGGAACTCTCCACCCTCAAAGCGTCGGATGCGCAGCAGAAGCAGCGGATACAGCAGCTGGAGCGGGCCAAGACGATGCTGGAGCGACGTGGCAAGGATAGAGCAGATGAGCTCAAGGGCAAAGGCCGGTTCGTCGAGGAAGTTCAGGACGAGATGGTGGCCCTCAATCTGCAGCTGAACATGGCAGAGCAGGAGAAGGAGCGGCTCAGGAAAGAGAATGAGGACTTGACCAGGCGATGGATGCAGAAGATGGACGACGAGGCGCGCAAGATGAATGATCGCATGGGCTGGGAGGAGTCGAGGCCGAGCAAGGGCAGCAAAAAGTAAATGGACGCAGGACGTGGTGGATCAAGCTGCTACTCTAGACCTCTATCATCGCTCCAGCCAAGGTTATTCATTTTTCCATCATCATCATCATCTTATATGCATGTATGTCGCTGCTACTGTAGCCAACTGTTTGTCTTTCTTTCCTTTGGGGTCCGCGGCCATGGGTGCCTGGCTTGGCAGCCGGCGTGAGCTCCCCGCGTGCCCGCAGCCCGCAGCTCCTCCCACTCACGAGGTAGGCCTACCACCCCCGACAACAACCACACCAACCACAGCAACAACACGATCAATCAAGGCGACTTGAATACTCAATCCCGTCGTCGCCCACCATGGGGACTGCACTCAAGACTTGGGGTACGTGTGAGGCTTTCAGTTCGTCTTTGATGCAATCTTGCCGCAGATGTAGACGCATTTGCCCCTCCTAACCATGTTCCCATGTTCCCATGTTCACAGTCAGTGACTTGTTTCTTGCTCGCTCACTCACTAACAACCGCCCGCAGAGCTGGAAAATGCAGTACAACTGGTGGACCCGACCAAAGACGCCCTCTACAACTACTCGGCCTCAGCGCAAAAGTCGATCAACGAAGCGCACCCATGGCGGACCGACCCCCATTACTTCACTTCTGTTCGCATCTCGGCCGTTGCCCTGCTCAAGATGGTCATGCATGCCCGCTCCGGCGGCTCGCTCGAAGTCATGGGCCTGATGCTGGGCAAGATTGAAGCCCACACCTTCGTCGTCACCGATGCCTTCCGCCTACCAGTCGAAGGCACAGAGACACGCGTCAACGCCCAGGACGAGGCAAACGAGTACATGGTCGAATTCCTGCAGCGTGCGCGAGAGCAGGGCCAGTGCGACAACGCGGTAGGCTGGTACCACAGCCATCCTGGCTACGGCTGCTGGCTCTCCGGAATTGACGTCAACACGCAAAAGACACAGCAAATGTTCCAGGACCCTTTCTGCGCCATCGTCATCGATCCCGACCGCACCGTTTCGGCAGGCAAAGTCGAGATTGGCGCCTTCCGCACCTACTCGACCGAATACGTCGAGGCCAAAGACAAGGCTGGCGGCGCCTCCAAATCCCGCTCTGGCGGCACAGACAGCGATGGATTTCAAACGATACCGCTCGGCAAGATTGAGGATTTTGGAGCTCATGCAAACCACTATTACTCCCTCCAGGTCTCACACTACAAATCCTCGCTTGATGCCAAGCTACTCGAAGCTCTATGGAACAAATATTGGGTGCAGACGCTTTCTTCGTCGCCGCTGATTTCGAACCGCGAATACGGAACCAAGCAAATCAGTGATTTGGCGCGCAAGACGCAACAGGAGAGCGCAAACGGCAAGCGGTTCAAGGGAGGCCAGAGTTATCATGCTGGAGCAACTGCGGATAAAAACCAGCTCTCCAAGTTGGGTGCGGCGGGTAGCAAGATTGCACGAGAAGAGGATATGGGTCTTTTGGCGGCCAAGGTCAAGACTCAGGTGTTCAATCTGAATGGAACAGAATCAGAGCCAGAGCCAGAGCCAGAATCAGAGCGAGTAGTCGAGGAGAAGGCCAAGGTCATGGAGAGTCAGGAGGTGGAGATGAAGAGTTAATGGGGAGTGCATCACTTTTCTCGCTCTCGATCACGATGGAACGCTTGCACGTTGAATGCATGGCATGGAGTTTAGGCGCAGATACGGCCGGCTCAGGCTCGGTATAGGGACTAACTGGTGATTCTACTTGCACCTTTATGAACCTGAGAATTGTCGAATAACTCTATTCCTTAGAGGTAATGGTTGTACATGTTCTCTTCATCATCATCGACATCATCTTGCAAAGGGCCCCACCCTACTGTCCATCAAGGCGGAGGTTTCATTCCCCCACGCCCAACCTTGCCAACGTCTCTCTTCTTCCCAAAATCAACATGACATCGTAAATGCGCATCCCCTGTTCCTGCCCCGTCACCATCTTCCTGAGATAATGATATACATCTTTACTGCCAGCCTTGCCCTCGGCCCTCCCATCAATAATCTCCCATACCTTTTGCATGAGGTTCTCCTTGTTCCACTCCGACTGCGTCACTTGCGAAAGCATCTGCGCCCGCATAGGGATATCCGAAGACGTCGCGACAGGCGGTGCATCGTGGTAGGGTCGCAACGGCGTAAAGAAGAAACTGTTCCTGTATAGGAACTCGTTTGCATTTGTATAGTTTTCCGCATCCACACGTATGATGTCGGCAATATACGCCTCGGGAAACGGCGAACCTACAATTTCCTTCCACGCTTTGTACGGCGAGTCGGGTGCCAGCAGGAGCTTGGCTGTGTTCGTCACCATTTCGTTGAATTTTTCCTCGCCCTCTGCGGCACGCGCGCCAGCGTGCTTTCGTTGCAAAAAGTGCATTTTGCCAAATGTCACCGTGGTATTGCCCTTTGTGAACTTCATGCTGAAATTCCGGACCAAGGTTGGTAAATCCATCACATCCGTCTTTTCCCTGTGACTCCACCCAAGTAATGCGGCAAAGTTGGTCAGGGTCTCGGGGAAGATTTCCATGTCCTTGAAGGCGGTGATGTCGGTGTCGAAGTTGCGCTTGCTGAGCTTGTTGCCTTGCTCGTCGACGAGCAGGCCAACGTGTGCGAACTGTGGGGGTGTCCAGCCAAAGGCCGAGTACATGGCTATGTGCTTTGGAGTACTGGGCATCCATTCGCTGCCTCGGACGACATGGGTAACTTGCATGAGATGGTCGTCTACCACGTTGGCGAGGTGGTAGGTTGGCAGGCCATCTGATTTCAGCAGGATGGGATCTTCAAAAGAGGCCTCAGTGACGTGGCCGCGGCGCCGTAGAGGGCGAAAGGTGCCGTAGATGAGGTCTTTGTAGGTAGGATACTGGTCGGGTACCTTGAGTCGGATGGTATGGGACTCGCCGCGATGGGCTCGGTCGTCGCTCTCTTCCTGCGGGATAGAGGCGCAGGTGCGATCGTAGTCTGTTGCCAGGCCCAGCTTGTGCCTGTGTTCGGCGAGGGCGTGTAGGCGGTCGGCGGAGCAGAAGCAGCGATATGCATGGCCCGCGTCCAGTAATTTGTGCGCGTGTTGCTTGTATATCAGACTGCGCTCGGATTGCCTGTAGGGGCCGTAGGGACCTCCCACTTCAGGGCCCTCGTCCCATTGCAGCCCTGCCCAGCGCAGGTCATCGAAGAGTCGCTGCTCGGCATCGGGCACGGTGCGTTTCTGATCGGTATCCTCAATCCGCAGGAGGAACTGGCCGCCTGTACGTTTTGCGAGCAAGTAATTGAAGAGGGCGGTCCGTAGCGAGCCCAGATGCAAGTAGCCTGTGGGTGAGGGCGCGAATCGGGTGCGCGCGGGGGATGTAGGCAGGGCTGTGTTGATCTTGTTTTGGTCTTTGGCCGCCGCCTTGGAGGATAGGGGACGCCTGTGAGATACTCGTGAGAGCCGTCGCATCAGACAGGAGCGACATGTGTAGGCGGACATGGCGATGTTTTGTGATCTTCTCATTCCTGGTCCTTGATTTTGCTCTGTTTGTCCTGTTCCTTTTGGTTTCCTCCTTTTTCTTCTCTTTGCTGACTAGCTATTTCCCATTGTTCGGTTTGTTATTTTTTCAACCGGTCAATCGTTCTTTTTGCGGATGATTGCTTGAGGCTGAAAGCTACCCCATGCAACCACCAACCACTTTGCTATGCTTGGTGGTGGAGACACTTCACCGCCCGGCTGCAAGATGACTGAGGCCTACCTTACTCAGCACTGTGGACTCTACCCAGTCTAGCCTAGCGCAGTCGAATTGCTTCCCCGCTGTCTCATGATTACCTAATCATCCTTCTGATACCAGGACACAAAATTTGGTCTTATCGATAAGGCGGAGTGCGGAGGGAGTTTTAGTCGTAGCTCGCATTCACTCCTCTCTCTGGGTTGGGTTGTAGTTATACCCCCCTCCCCCCCCCTGCAATCCCTCAACAGCCGCCCACGGATGGTCTTCCTTTTGACAGTTTGATACATCTTGAACATATCCAACTATAGTTAGGGTAATTACTGCACTCTGCTTCCCTACTTGCGCCTGCCTTGTTAGACCCTTTTCCTTAGTTATACACTTGGATTGGACTACGTCTTCTTCGAAACACCACTTTTCAAGCCTCCTTCTTCCCCACCACGACGTGTCTTTCAAACGCCGCCAACAAAACCAAGTGAGGCTAAGACCTACAAACTCAGCGTGGGGCCCTGGCTGACGCTGGCCACCAGTGAACGACATGGATGAAGTCGACCTCTATGGTACTATGATGCGCTTCCCATCCACTCACAGCCCCATCTAACACAAAAAGAGGTCCTCGGCATCGACAACGGCGCGACCAAAGTCGAGATCAAAAAGGCATACCACAAGGTGCGCAGGCCTCCTTTGGGTCGCTCACCTCCCCACACTGACTCCTTTGGCCAGGCTGCGCTTGCACACCACCCTGATAAGGTCGCTGAAGATGACCGTGAAGAGGCGGAAATCCGCTTCAAGGCCGCCAAACAAGCCTACGAAATTCTTTCCGATGACGAGAAGCGCTCCATGTACGATACCCACGGCATGTCTGCCTTTGACCCGTCCAGAGGCGGAATGGGTGGCCAGCCCGACATGGACGACATTCTGGCGCAAATGTTCGGCGGCGGCATGGGAGGCTTCTCTGGAATGCCAGGTATGGGTGGCATGCCCGGTGGCAGGAACGTTCCCCGAAAGGGACGGTCTGTAGAACAGGAGTACGAGGTCACCCTAGAAGAACTGTACAAGGGCAAGACGACCAAGTTTGCCAGCACCAAAAACATCATTTGCTCTCTGTGTAAAGGCAGCGGTGGAAAGCAAGGCGCCAAGAGCCATGCATGTGGTATTTGCAACGGAAGGGGTACGTGTTGCCATGCCATGCTGACCACGACTTTAACTGATACCATTGCCGATAGGTGCTAAGCAAATCCTCCGACAAGTTGGTCCCGGTCTCGTGACACAAGAGACGGTCCCCTGTGGCAACTGCGAAAGTTCTGGACAAATCATCCCCGAGAAGCAGCGCTGCAAAAAGTGCAAGGGCAAAAAGGTCGTCGAGACCAAGAACGTCCTTGAACTATACATTCCCCGCGGCGCTCGACAAGGCGAGCGCATCGTCCTTGCGGGCGAAGCCGACCAATTACCCGATCAGGAACCTGGTGACATCATCTTCACCCTGACAGAGAAGCCTCATGAGGTTTTCGAGCGAGCAGGCGCTGATTTGCGTGCCGAACTCAAGGTCAGCCTTGTTGAAGCTCTCACTGGCTTCAGCCGCGTAGTACTTACACATCTCGATGGACGAGGTCTTCAACTGAATATCCAGCAACCGGATGGCAACGTTTTGCGACCGGGTCAAATTCTCAAGGTCCCAGGAGAAGGTATGCCAATCAAGAAAAGCGATGCAAAAGGCGATCTCTACCTTATTGTTGATGTCGAATTCCCCGAGGACGGATGGCTCAAGAATGATGCCGCAGTACAGAAGCTCCGCGACGCATTGCCCAAAGTGGAACGGATAGAAGAGAAGCCTGAGGAGATTGAGGAGATCGACGTTGAATGGGATGCAGATATGGAGGACTTCGGTGCTGGAAGTGGAGATCCACGTGCGGGAGGAGGCGAGTGGGAGGACGACGATGAAGACGGTGATGGTGCGCCTCAGTGCGCTACCCAGTAAGGTCTCGAACCTCCGCATGATACGGCGAATGTATTATGAGCGATATAAGTGCAATCGATTTTCAGACATACCGGTAGTGCATGCTATAACAATTTATCGGCACACATGCCGTTTTTAGCATATTGAAGTTTGCCAGAATGGTCAGTGAGCTTCTGCGCCCACACTAAGTCGTTAATCATGATTTTCTCATCATGCCTCACCGATTCTCCAAACAAACACATGAAGAGGCCACAGCTCTGCATACATATGATTGCGCTGGCTCGCATGCAGCGTACACCCCTAGTCATACTTGATTTGTGGTTGACGGGAGAAGCTGATATATCCTGATTGTCCAAGGACACACAGCCTGATGTACCCGTACCTTTGTGCGCTCGAATGTGAGAAACTATATGAACCTATCGATCAATTGCTAGGGCGACAGGTACAAGATGGCTGTACCCGAAAAAAAATTAGTCACACACGACATCACTACCGTCTGTGCCAACATCTGTAGGTAGACGGGAAGGTCTTAGATTGCGTGAGAAATTAATGTTTGGCTATTCGTCCAGAAACATCGGACAAATATGCTTATATTGATTGAAGCAATAGTGCACTTGTATCTTGCATTTGGAGTGAGGGAGTAAGCGCAAGCAGTGGATTGAAATACGTTTAGTCGTGCGGGAATTTCGCATCTCATGATATGATTTGTCAAGTGCGATGTTCTGACAAGTGTATTAGTATGTTCCCCGCAGGGGTATGCTGTTCATATCGTTACAGGAACAAACGGTACTGGCTATCTGCTGGTAGTTTATCGAGACTATTCTGTGGAAAACCGATCTTGTTTCGCCGTCTCAGAACCAAGTATGCACATTCAGTTGATATTGGGCAGTTACGCAACATGCGAATGCATGGGTGACTCATGAGTACCAAATAAGGACAAAGCAGCCGCTACACCCTCTTACTACATATTACTCCAACTACCGAAGCATTGATCGCTAGACCGCTGTCGGCCACACTTCAACCAGGTTCCGTTGGTCATAAGCCATGTGCAAAACGCCCACTACAAGGAAGATCGTTCCAAAAACGATACCAGTCAATCGCACTTTGATCAGGCTACATAATAGGAGGGCTCTCGGCCTGCACCCGACTCCGGTCTTGAGTCGAGGTCTGCAACGCGCCGCTGATCAGCCAACTCGATCATCCTGTCAGCCTCACGCGCTGGTATCGAAACAGTGGAGCCCCACTCTCCCGCGGCATCGGAAAAGTTGATAACAGCTAGCCTCTCCGCTACATACTATCAGCCTCAGTCATTGGAAGTAGGGTATGCATACATACCATCGCTCATGCCTCTTTCATATTCTTCTCTGCGTGACTGATGCCACTGGGCTGATAAGTCTGGGTTCATCTCCATGAAGCGAACAGGATACCGTGGCTGCCTTTTCATTCTAGAAACGATGTTTCGATACGTCACAACGTAATTGTCTCTGCGCGGCCCCGAGATCTTGGCTAGTGCGTAATCTACATGATATGCGCTCAGAAAATGCTCCAGCCAGGCGAGATCAGTTTCCCGTCCTGGGTACCTGTCGAGTCCTTGAATGAGCTGCTTGGCAAGACGGAGAGCAAATAGGCCGACAATGAGGAAATCAGGTGCGGGTTGAGCCGCTGAGCGAAGGTGCTGCGGCGGGTCAGCTGGCGGCGCTGGTGAGGTCAAAGGAACACGCCCAGCGTCATGCGGTCTGTAAGGTGCGGAGCTGGGGCGCTGCATCGTGAATTGGAAAGATAGTTGTAATTGATTGATGATGTTTTGATTGTGCTTGATAATAGAAAGGCTTGCAGAACCTCGTGTAACATGCTCCTGCCTCCAACTTGTCTTGGCATCAAACGAGCAAATAGCAAGCGCACACGATGAGTAACGTTGTAGTTACGTGGTTCTCCTGCTTCATAATTGTTACTATAGTGGTTTAATAGGATAGCATATCTTGTAATACCTCCTATGTTAAAGGAGTAAGCTTGCAAAGGAATACTTGGAAAACTAGTAGCCTTTGCTATGCATATTCAGCTCCACTTGACCAGCATTACGGTAGTACTGCCAGATAAACGATAGTGTACGTACACCTAAAGTATGGTTATTGTGCAGATGGTTATGTAGGTCACGGTCTCTAATTGGTATTTGTCAAGCGTTACTGGTGCATACTGGTTGCCCTCGAACGCCTTGAGTCCAACAGTCCACATCATCCTTTGCTTTAATGAGCATCAAAACTCCAGCTACAGGATCCTTACCGGTATGGACGAAATATTTTGGGGGAATTAAATCAAAACAGACCCCGCTCATGACAATTTCGCATCATTGGGATGGAATATTCGCTGTTGCCTCATTATCGCGTGGTGCACTCACTTGTTGGGTGAAGCGATGGAGATCAGCGCTGAGAGAGGTCTAGTGTTGAATACCAACTAGGTATCACCAAAACGCGGGGGGGGGGGCCGGGAGATTCGATAGGTGCGGTACATCTTCGGATAATGCCATGCCAGTTGCTTAATTTGACATTACAAAAGCTTAGGGCGCAATGGCAATCTACCGGTACCTACATGTCAGTCTGTTCTGTCTCATTGGAAACCGAATGGCTGTGGGATTCCACCGACCAGATACAACAGTAATTGGAATCAGCATGCATCTTCAACAAAATTGTTCACTCGGTGACGCAGGTGGCGCCCCCAATGTTCCGGATCACTTTAATGCTACGATGAGTTGGACAAGCTTTAAAGTAGCCGTGTGGTTGTGAACCGAATGAAAAATACCACATCAATTGAAGCATCGCAATTATCTCTAAGAATATTTCGCTACCGGTACCACACTTCGCATGTTCTCTCTCTCCTGTCACTTTGGCGGGCATCATGGTCAGCCACAAAGGTAGATGAATTTTCTCACGCAGCTCGCTGCCATCCCTAAAATTGATACCTACTTTGAACATCAAGATCAGACCTTCATGTTACCAGCGGCTCGGAATACATTCTTGTAGAGATACAGAATGAAATCAAAAACACTAAACCACTCGCGGCACCAAGCAGCTTGCAGCGAAAATGCGTCACATGATCACAACAGAAGATTATCATCCTAGGGTCACGCGTCAAGGTAGAACGGAAAGACTCGAGTTTTTTTTTGAAGAATGCGAGTCTTATGCTTCATGGGCAGTGGTTACTATGGAGAAGACAATGCGCGACGTTCTAGGGGAAGTATCTCACTCGCGGACATTTGCAAGGTGCTCAATGTGCAACATCTTGTTGCTGAAGATAACAAGATAGCATATTCATTGGTACGCGCATAGATTAAAGGACAACAAAGGGCAGTATAGATTTTGGACATCTCAGAAGACTATCTAGGTGTATCAGCGACTTTCAATTATGTTATCTTGGCTGCACACCTGATATCGTACGCCAAGCAAGCACGGTGGGCGGCACTCTTTCTACCTCACCTTCACCTCCGCAACTTTTCATCGATGAATTGCCGCCTGAACATTTGTCTGATAAACAACGCAGACGCCGATTCATTTGGCATCTTCATGAACAGAACTATCAAAAATATCTGACTTCGGCTTTGTGTCTTCACGTTGACAACATTACTCACAACCTAGAACAGTCTGATTTAGTGAGCCTGGCGATGGACGTTACACCGACAGAACCGCCTTCATCGTTGCCGCCCCGCTCGCCCTCAATAATGTCTTTTGACGAGACCACGGATATCGCAGCCCTCCAGAGCGTTGTCGCCGATCTAACAAAGAGGAACAAATTGTTAGAGGCCCAGGTTACTGAGGCAATTTCAGAGATCAAGGCTTCATCGAACCGCGCTCAGACTCGCTATTCAGAAAAGTTACTTGCAAACCGTAACGCCGAACGTCTTCAGCAGGCGCTCGAAAATGAGCGAAGAGAGCGAGAAGATGACCAGATCAAGGCGGTTCGGTGCTATCACAGTTTGAAAGAAACCATCGCTGGCTTGATCAAGGAGAAGGATACTTTTTTGAAGACGAAAAGGAAGGATTCAGCTACGGATGATGAATCGCTGACAGCACAAGACGGTGCGGTTACACATCTACAAGGCCAGATTCAAACACAGCAAGACCGAATCACCAGACTGGAGACGGCTCTGGCAGCTTCCGAGGCTACACAAAACAAACAGGCCCAAGCAATTGAATCATCACTACCGGAGAGCCCTGCTTCAAATGCGCTGGCCGCTTTGGACTTGGAAGCACATGCGATAGCCGTGGCCAGGCTCAAAAGCGCTGAGGCTAAACTTATCCAAGAACGAATCGTGTTCAACAGAGCAGTCGAGGGGACTAAGACCAGGTTCCAAAACGAAGCTATAGAGATGAAGCGGAAGTTTGAGCAAGCTCGCCAACAAGAAGAGCAGAAAAGCGTAATGCTGCAGCAGCAGCTTCACGCCAAGACTATGGAGGTCTCTTGGTGCAGGCAGCAATTACAGAAGCAGCAAATGGGCTTGCAGGCTTCGCAGAGTAGATCTCAAAACAATGTGGGCAAATATGCTGCTTCTCAATTGGCACCCGAGCAAAAGAGCACACTTGATGAGCATGCGAAGAAACGGCAACGGGTAGACTCTGTCGGGTAAGTCGCTTCTTTTGAGTCTACCCTTCGGAGCTCGCTGACCGTGATATCATATATAGTGCTACCGGAACTCAGATCCCTCAGTTCAACCGCGCCGTCTCCAGGCAAACTCACCCTGCGAACTCCATTGTTACCCCGCAGTCACAGAGCAGTTCTGACGATGGTTACCGACCAAGCCCTACTACACCAGCACATCTCCCATCGTCTTCAAGCACTTCATCGCAAGATCGACATGAGAGACCTATGACACAACAGATGGCAAAACCAATGTGGATGAGTGATTTCCATCGCCGAAAGTTGTCGCAGAACTCAAATTCGACCAATACTCTATCGTTATCCTCCCCTCGGTCGACATCGCAGCGAACACTGAAGCAGTCTACATCTCAAGTACCGAATCAGGGACCACACCCGAGCCATATAAGCCTCGCTGGGTCGATTAATCGGCCGCAGCAAATGGATCAGTCACAACAGATGTACCAGCAACAACAGGCAGGCCATGCTCCAAGACCTTTCTACCAACAACCCCGTTTGCAGCAACAGCAGCAGGTCAATCCCCAGCAGCAGATGTCTCGACAAAAACGATCGACTGATGGACCACAAGCAAGCGGTACAATTCTCAATACCCAACAACAGCCATCTTTCGACTTCCAGGTGGGCCCGCATGTTGCAAATCAAGCGAGGGCAGCCAAGGGCATTCAAGACACCAGAGAATTGTCCTATAGGCAAATTCAAGCTGTGATGCACATACCAAATCCCAAACTTCAAACTTTGGACAGAAGTGATATGACAGGATCGCAGCAAGTGCAACAACACGATTTCAAGGCATCCGGTAAGGACGCAATGCTACTGCAACCGTCGATGAATGTACCCACGACGCCAGGCAAGGCGGCACAATTATTCCTGCCCCAGAATCGTCCGCAGTCAACATTGGCAAATGCGCAATTCCAGTCTCCTGCCTCACAATGGGCCGCCCAACAGCGTTTCGAGCGGATAATGAAAGCTGCTAGACAGAAGATGGGATTCGCACCAGGTCTCGACAGCGTCCAGACCCCGACATCGTCAAACCTCACAGACGATTCTGGCAGTGAACATCACAACAATATAACGCAGGTCACACATTGTCCTTCTGGGTTTGAGCCATCGCGAGAACCAAAGTCTTTAAGAAACGTCGCTGTGCCCATGTCTCCTGCTGCCGGGCAGGGCATTCGTTTACAGAGCGGCGGGTCAGGCAACCTGACTGCGAACTTCGATCATTCATTTCCTTCATGGTCTACAGAACTAGGACCCACTATGTTTGTGGGAGACAGTCTCCAATTTGATGGTTGGACGTCAGACCGAGTACTGGCACCGGTCACGAACACAACAACCGTTGCAAGCACCGCGCCACGCAGTGATACTGGCACTACTGATGTCGAGTACACTTCACAACCCGGCGAACCACTGCAACATACAACCCGAGATCCTTCGCTCTCCATACTTGGGGCCCAATTCCAACGTCCAAAAAACACCTGTCGCGCCCCCACTCCCAACGTCTCCGCACATATTCCCTGCGTATACTGTTACAGCCATTGGTGGGAGCACTCCTGCGAAGGACAGCCATGCACCAATTGTCAGAAAAAGGGTGTTGATTGCCTGCGGCCCAAGTGCGCCGATTTTGCCGATTGTGCAAAAGGTTACAGGTGCAAGCTGGTGCATGAAAACGACCCGCGCTATTACGATATGAACTACTTGATCACGCTGCCTAAAGCTGGCGCGATGCCGAAGCGAATTGGAACGAAGGCGAAGGCAAAAGAGGCACCAAGCGTGTTGGGCAAGCGTAAGGCAGACGCAATCACTGAGGCTTGAGGCCTGGAACTTGGTACTGATTTGAGTTGATGCTGTCTGGGTATGTTCTTTCTTTGTTCTTCTTACAACGAGCGCGACGAAAGCTGATACTGAACTAGACGAAGGTTAAATTTCAATCGAGATATTGTGAAGTCGGTTGGTATGGATGGACTCATTGGTTGATTTGAATACTGGAAACATTTTATGCAATAAGCAGACATTGAAAACATGTAATCACTTCACGAGAACGATGTGCTATCTTCTATGATTGCCTTTGTACACATTGATTATACTGCTTCATCAAGTAATGATCTCCAAGATATCGAAGCGGCCGTCACCGCGCAAGCATGTGTTGCTACTATGCTGCCTACCAACCTAGCGACAAACGCCACTCCAACAGCCTTCTTGGCCATCGCTGTCTCTTATTCAAGCAAGTACAAGTTGTACCTCTCGACTTATGTTAGCCTCCCTTCTTATCTTAATCCTCCGCTTCTACCAAAACGTTGTCCAACGAGAGAGGTTTCGACGCAACTTGCATGATCTGCTCTTGTTCCGAAGACAGCAGTTCTCGCAGACAGTTTGGCCGTCGCATTCTCATCTATGGGTAAAACACGTTGTACAACGTATGTGTGTGACCTTTGCATTCTTGTGACGGGGAACATCGCGATCGAGGAGTGTGTCGTCACTGGCATCGTCTGGAGCGTTGGAAGCAGTACTTGCCGTGGCGGGAGTATCCTCCTTTTTAGCTACCTCCAAATCTTTTGCTTTCCGTTTCCTGCCGCTGCTGGGTAGCTGAGTTCCTGCCAATGGCAATGATTGACAAGGAGCGTTCAGCAATCGTTCGTGCGTCCGCTGAGCGGCCTTCTCCACTCACCACTAACAAACACCGGGCTTTCGAAGACTCCGGTTACAACACGCTGACACTTATTCGTCATCTACATCAGCATAGCCGACTCTGAACGCGATCAGTCAACAGGAAAGAGTGCCAAGCTCAGCACCAGTGAACGATCTCGGGAGGAAGAACTGGTAGCTGAGAGAGCGGTTGCGTAACCGCATCCACATGGTACACGAGAAGAATCGAGACCTTCAAGCACAGCTTCGAGAGACCAATAAGGACAGATGACAACTCGACAACATGGACTGCGAACTCCAAGCATCAAACGAACAGCTGGAAAGGAAGGTGCAATGGTTGGAAGGTGATCTGGCGGACATGAAGGAGACGGAGAAGGAGAGGAGAAGAAGCCGGCAGCGAAAGAATACGATCCCGCCTAGGATGGCTTGCTACCACTCGATGATGTCGTTCGCATGCATTGGAGAAAGCATGGCAAGTATCGCAAGGGGGAAGTTGGTAAGGGCTGCGAATCCTGTAGCCATGCGGCCCGCCATTGACGCCGCCGTCGCTGACGAGGTGGAGGAGGGCGAGGACGTGGAGATGGACTTGGCTTGAGGCAGCATATATATGATATAGGCATAACACGTTCGTAGGACGTGAAAATAAACATATGAAACAAAGACGTGAGGATCATGCGTATCGACGAGCCTCGTAGGGCAGCTCAGGACAACGGTGTAGACGTCACGAATTACTGTGTCATTATGGCCTTATGGATGCTGATAGACGGAGGCAACAATAATAATAAACGGTTCCATAATGATTGAGAAACATATCAAAAATGACCTGCAAGCACAGGTGAGAACGCTCCATTCTAGCACATACGTCTACCGGATATCTGTTGGACAAGAATGCTGATATACATTAGAAACAGTCAATTTAATTTGACATAGTTCCCTAAGACCGGTTAGCGCGAATATGGACACCCAATTCGTCATTAACGTACCTGGGAACTGCCCCTGCTTTCCTCGAACTTTACCGATCCACCACTCGTTATCATTCTGCGTCCGCGATACAATCTCTATGACATCGCCAGCGATGAAACTCAGGTCGCCTTCGGCTTGTGCCTCATAATCATAGAGTGCTGTCACAGTCTCGGCCGCTGGAACGCCACTCAGTCGTGATGGCTTCGGTTTTCGCGGGGGAGGTGCAGCACCCTTGGCCTTTGCGGCTGAGCCCCACGAGCCCGAGGACATGGCAGGTGATTTGACGTCTCCAACGGCTCCACCAGCTCCGGCTGGCCCAGGACTATATGGCGGTGGCGGAGTTTCTGTATCTGAAGAGATCGACGAACGCCCTCCCTTTGCTTCCAAGGCCTTGGTGGCGTACTTGGACTGCCCTGGTCGGGCGCCGGCAGGACGACCGCCAGTCGTCTTGAATTTTGTGATGGAGAGCTTCTCGACCTGCTCTTGTATATCGCCCCTCTTCTTCTCGTATGCCGCCTCAATATCGAGTGTCAGATCAAAGTAGCCAATGTCGAGCCGTTGCATGCGCTCGTGGAGTGTGTAAAAAACGTTTAGCTGCATGTAGTAGAAGGATTGGAAGAGTGGCTTGATGAACTCTCGCTCTAGCAAGAAGAGCTTCGGCAGCTCGTCCTTGAGGAGATCATTGAAGTAGTTGTAGTCCTGGGTTGCCTGCTCCACGTCGGCTTCGGCGCGGTATGTCGCCTTCTCGTCCTTCAGTGTCTTGTCCTTTTTGTCTTGCAACTTCTTAAGAGTGGCCCTGTGGCGATCGTAGTCCAATTGCTTGTGGTCGCGCTTGCTAGCAATCTTGCGCACCGCCTTGATAATGTCGAGTAGCTCGTCCGCTGGGCGGATCACCCGCGACTCAATCATCTCCAATTCGGGCTTGAGTGTTTCCTGCAATTCCTGAACCACAGCCTCGTACTGCTCGCAAGCTTCTATGCCAGCGGTGTTGCCTTCGTCCAGGTAGGAGTCAGGGTCAGACATTCGTCCAGAGATGGGTTTGTAAATCTCGGCGACGGCTTTGGAAAACTCGATCTGATGAGAGAGCATGCCTGGACACGGTCAGACCTGAAAGGATGCGCGCGCGCATGCGCGACAAGCGTTACACACCATTTATGGCTTCAAAGTACCTAGCGAGCGTGTCAGCATCATCCTTGGGTTTACAGTGGGCAGACAAGGCGCATTACTTTTTCGACTCTTCGTGCAGCTTCTTCGTCTCCTTTTCAAGCTCCTGGAATCGCCGCTCTGCGTCGAGATAGATGGCATCCTTTGTGATTTCGCCCTGGCCGTTGATGTAAGTAGCTTTCTTCCTCCACGGAATAGGGCGCATGTCGTGCCACGAGCCGGAGAAGGCTCGGGAAGGCTCAAGAAAGACATACCAGGTTGAACTTTTGTTTGAAGGTCTGGGGCGCCTAGATCGCAATTTGTTAGCAGCGTGCTGAAGGCCGAGCCGGCTTTGTCCCAACTCCTTTATGTCTACCTACCCTCGTCACCGTCTTGGTCAGGCCTTTCCACGACATGGAATATTGCTGGTATGCGGCGGATGGTAGTGGTAAGATGAGTCTGGGATGTGATGGGAAGAGTGAAATGTACTGTGTAAATGTACAGGTCCAGGAAGCGGAAGCGGAAGCAGAAGCAGAAGCAGAAGCAGGGTCCTGCGGTGGTATGGGAGATGGCGGAGCAGAGGGGAGATGACGTGGGTGACGAACTCAGGTGTGGCTGAGCGGCTTGGGGTGGTGAGGCGTTGAGACGTTTGGGTACCAAGTGGATGGATCAGCACTTGGGGTATCAATACCAGTACACGATGGTACTACTTGTAGAGTACTTTAAGCAAGCCAGAACAGGAATCAACGGTTTTGTCAGCAGTGGTGAGTGAAGGGAAGTCAGGGCAAAGTGTACACAGTATGTCAAGGTCGGAGGCGGGGAGAGACAGACTCTTGTCGCATGCGGCCGTCAAACATGCTTCCCGAAATACCCGATCGATCAAGTAGTTAGTTTCCCCAAGTTCTGGCACGATCGGTAACCACATGATTTGGGTACATTGACACCTGCAGTACCTACACGACATGATGTATAGTGAGTACATGGACAAGTCTCAGGCTTGTCAGGCTTGCTTGACACTGTGACACGTCCGTTGAAGAAGAAGAAGAAGACGAGGAAGACGAGGAAGAAGAAACGCATTGGGCCGAGGCGAATGATGATGACATGCATGATGAATACGGCACATGTGCAGACCAGAGCAACCAGTCATCGCACACCTTCAGTGCTGACTAATAATTACTAGTCTTGGCATCTCACATTGCAAAGAATCAGTGCAATCGCTCCAACGCCACCCACCGACAACCTCCCATCCCAACTTCCATCATGTCGAGCATCGTACCCACCGTCGGCAGGCAGGCCCTCCGCATCGCCTCTCGACGCTATCCATCCTCTGCATCTGCACGCTTCGCCCGTGTTGCTGCTAGCCAGAGGCACTATGTGTCATCCTCCTCCCCCGCTGGAGCTTCTGTGAACATTGACACGGCAAGCCAATTGGACACCAAGTCATACCGAAAGCAGACGGGTGAGCGTGCAGAGGATGCGACCATGCCGGCAACTGGCATGAGCGGGGATGTCATGATGTCTCCCACTGCAGGTAAAAGCTCCATTCCACCCATAATACAACGGAGAGGCTCATCATCTCAGGCATTCTCAAGCAAGCCACGGTGATGGATCAGGGCTCACGGCCCATCTATCTGGACATGCAGGCCACGACGCCCATGGACCCACGTGTAGTAGATGCCATGCTGCCCTATATGACGGGCATGTATGGCAACCCTCATTCGCGAACCCACGCCTACGGCTGGGAAACAGACAAGGCAGTCGAAGATGCACGTAAGAACATCGCCGACCTCATCGGCGCAGACCCAAAAGAGATCATCTTCACAAGTGGCGCCACCGAGAGCAACAACATGAGCATCAAAGGCGTCATGCGCTTTCTCGGTCGCGCTGGCAAGAAGAAGCACATCATCACAGCCCAGACGGAGCACAAGTGTGTGCTTGACAGCTGTAGACATCTTCAAGAGGAAGGCTTCTCCGTGACTTACCTGCCAGTACAGAATAATGGCCTTATCGACATGGCTCAACTCGAAGCTGCAATGCGCCCCGACACAGCCATGGTCAGCATCATGACCGTCAACAACGAAATCGGCGTCGTCCAGCCTGTAGACGAGATTGGCAGGCTTTGCCGTTCCAAGAAGATATTTTTCCACACCGATGCGGCACAGGCAGTGGGCAAGATACCTATTGATGTCAACAAGATGAATGTCGACCTGATGTCCATATCTGGCCACAAGATCTACGGCCCTAAGGGTATTGGCGCGTGCTACGTACGACGAAGGCCTAGGGTGAGACTCGATCCCATCATCAGCGGTGGCGGTCAGGAGCGAGGACTGCGCAGTGGAACCCTGGCGCCTCCACTGGCCATTGGTATGGGTGAAGCAGCGCGGATCTGCAACGAGGAGATGGCAGTAGGTACACCCGTTGTGTTTCGTTACATCCACTATGATTATTTGCTTCCGACATGCATGGCTTTCAGAGTGTTCGGCGGCTTCGGCCGTCGACGCACCATGTTGACAAATGTGCAGGGGTTATGAGTCGTTGTTCTGATCTTTTATGTTTCCATCTGGTCGATGTGGGCTCTACTGACCAGACACAGTACGATAGCAAGCGTATCACGTCGCTGTCGAATCGCCTTCTCGAGGGCTTACTCTCGCTTGAGCACACGACACTCAACGGTGACCGCGAACGACACTACCCTGGTTGCGTCAATGTCTCATTCGCATACGTAGAGGGCGAGTCCCTACTCATGGCACTGAAGGACATCGCCCTGTCATCTGGGAGTGCGTGCACTTCAGCATCGTTAGAACCCAGCTATGTTCTCCGAGCGCTTGGTAGCAGTGATGAGAGCGCACACAGCAGTATCCGCTTCGGTATCGGGCGATTCACCACAGATTCGGAGATCGACTATGTGCTCAAGGCAGTGCAGGAGCGAGTGACGTTCCTGCGAGAACTGAGTCCGTTGTGGGAGCTTGTGCAAGAAGGTGTCGATCTGAACACGATTGAGTGGAGCCAGCACTGAGCGATGAGGGAATTGATGAATGTACTATATTATACCCTGGGGCGGAGTTCGTTGTGTGGGAGGAATAGGCGCATGGTCAATTGGCGCACTTGGGACCACGCTCGCTGAGGGGGTTCATTGTTCACGATTGATATGACGACCATTTTGATTGTACGCTATTATATATGTTTGCCCATGGCTATGTACATGAATGTAATGATGAATAATCTACTGGGAAAGATGGCCGTGACGGTGCAGTAGGGAATGAAAAAGAAAGCAAGAAGCAAGAGACGGCACAAGGTGCCCAGCGGTGGAGGCAGACTGCGTGTTGCCAAGATGTCGGGTAGTTGGAGGACAGGAAGCTTTCCCCGCGTCCACGACACTAACCACCGGACGATACAATTCTTACCTTGCGATACTTACGGTAGATGGCATACATGCCATAAATGTGCGATTAGATAGCCCAGGTATGAGCGCGGTGCCCGAAAAGGTGCTCAACTGGCTGTACAGCGTCCTCACCAGCGAGTACTCGCACGTCCAGCGTACATACAACGACGCAGCCGAGGTGCTCTCGAGTTACCCGTCGCTCACACCGCGCACTGAGATCTACAGTAGGGAATGACCATGGCAACCCATTTCACCTCTGGCTGCAACTCGGGACCGAAGACGATTCACTGACATATGTACAACCAGCGTATGAAAATGGAGCTTCGGCGCTGCTGCTGCTCCTCAGCGGCACCCTGCCCGTCACCTTTCGCGGCGCAACCTATGGCTTCCCGATGGCTATATGGGTCCCCTATGGTTATCCGCGAGAAGCGCCGATGGTATACATGACGCCCTCGCAAGACATGGTCGTGAGGCCCGGGCAGCATGTGGGCGGCGACGGTAGAGTGTACCACCCATACCTCGCGCAATGGGCGCAATACTGGGATGTAAGTTGGAATCATTCCTTTGATAGCCTACCAGACTCTGTGACCAACCCACCGACTGACCAACCTTACACGCAGAAGTCTACGCTGTTCGACTTGCTGGCAGTCCTGCGCGGTGTCTTTGCAAAAGAGCCGCCTGTGCGATCGAAGCAACCAATCGTGCATTCTCCCTCACCAGTGATTCCCCCTCCCCCTCCTCCAAAGCCCCCAAAACCAGGCGACCAGGACCAGAATCGAGCGACACCCCAACCATCGCATCATCGTTACTCACAGCCTCCTCCTTTACCTCCACCGCGGCCACCTCTATCGCCTTCGCCCCAACACCCACACGCACAATCGTCACAACAGCAGCAGCAACAACAACCATACCAGCTGCAAAGGAACAGCTATGGGTATAATCCCCAGAGCAGCCAAGGCAATCCCGACATCAGCCCGCCAACGCCCATACCATCAAGACAACCCCGACCGCAGGCACAGGCACAGGCGCAGAGCTATGCGACGGCCCAACCATCATATGACATGCCAAGTCCAGTCAGCCCCGTGACACCTGATGGTTCATGGTCAATATCACGCTACTCGCACACAGGGCCGCCTCAATCGCATCAACATGCTCTCCAATCACAGCAGTATCAAGGACCCCCACCGCCGCAATCCCATCCATTCTCGGCTCCTCACACAGGGCCCCAACAGCAATATCCTCAACAGCCACCCCACGGCTACCCGCCACAATCACACCTACAGTATCCGCACCAACAACAGCCACAGCAACAACTCCGCCCGCCTCACCAGGCCACACCCGCCGCAAAGCCTCCAGTCAATCTGCTGGACGACTCTCTCCAAGTCACACTCCCCTCTCAGTCCAACAATCACCTACCCGTTCCCGTCCCACCCGTTCCTCCTAATCCCGAAAAAGACGCTCTCCTCCGTGCCCTCAGTCAAACTCTCGTCGCACAGATCCGCCAAACAGTGTCGTCGAATCAGTCCGCCATCGGCCCACTGCAAGCCCAACAGCAAGCTCTACAGACTGCACATGCGCGTCTCCAAGCAGAGCTGGGAGAGCTTCAGCAGTTGGACTCGGCCTTGGCAAGCAACGAGCAGGTGCTGAAAGGGGCCATGGTAGAAGCAGACCGTGTCATGGAAGATGCAAGAAGGCGCCAGGCGCCCGATGTTGACGATGTACTGGTTGCCCCAACGCTTGTGGGCGGACAATTGTACACTCTTGCGGCTGAGGAGAAGGGCATTGCGGATGCCCTTTTTATTCTGGGTAGGGCCTTGGACAAGGGGAGGGTGGGAGCCGAAGTTTTTGCAAAGGTACAGTCTCTCCTCTTCATCTTGTCCAAAGTGCCATGAGCGATAGGGAAAGACGCAAGGCTAACAACTGCGCGCAGCAAACGAGAAGCCTAGCCAGAGAGCAGTTCTTGAAGAAAGCGCTTATCAAGAAGATAGCGAGAGGTATGGCGCTGGACGAATATCAGATGCGCTGATCAAAAACTCAAAACCTATGTTCCCCTGCACATTCTGCATTGGCTTCTTCCAGTGCGTTGATTCAAGGCCATGGAGGACCACAACTATAAGCAAACATAGGTAGGCCTTGAAACATGGCCAAAATGGATGGACAGCACAACAGAAGAACACGGCATGATAGCAGTCAGCTCAGCCAGGGTACTGGGCGTTTTTGTACCCGTTGCAGACAGCACTCAATCTCGCTAGGCGGTTGAAGAGGCGTTGTTGGTGCAAGGATGCCGACCCCCTGATCTAACTTACCAATCATCAAGCACTACATTTAAGCTTTTCGATAAGTTTATACCAAGCACTCCAAATGTGAATATCAGGCAACCAGCCTCGCGATTGAACATATTTTCTCGTTTCGCGCGCGCACCAATTCTTTCTACATTCGTACTTCGTTCAGGGACCACAGATACTATACTAATGACAACACGATGTCTACACTGCATGACCAGTCGCACGCGGCTGTCGACTCGACTACGACGGCCCCAGCACAACTTACAGCTGTCCGAACACCCTTCTCCCACTGCTTCCGACCCACGACTGCAAACCACCCCTCTTCTTCGCCAACCTCCATCCTAGACGTTGAGCGCAACCCAGCTGACCGCTACTGGAAATTTACATTCGGCGCTTACATCCTCCTCCCCTTCAGCGGCCTTGTAGGAGTCGGATGCATTGGATACCTCCTCTCCACGCTCTCTCTATGGCCAACGTCATCCTACAATCCCGTTGGACCCTGGGACCTATGGCCCTCATTACTCACCTTCAGCCTCAGTATACTCTGGTGCAGTGTTTGCCTCTTCCTTTGGTACAAAAGCCGTCATACATTCCATCCTGGTCTCTACTTATCCGTCCACTTGGTCCTATGGCTCGGGTTCGTATTCACCACCCTCTTTGCACTCCTCGCATCTCGTATGATGATGCGCTTCGGCCACGATGCGCAGATTGTGGAGTACGTCAGCATGCAAGGATACACTTCGAGTGACTACGGAAACTACCTACTCGTGGAGAACGGCACGTGGGTTTGGACACGCGACATGCGTTTCTCCGAGGCCACCCTGCACCTGCCACGAACCTGCCAGGGATCGGGCTACCCTGAACTTCCTCCCGCCGACGACATGCATTATGCCGCTGCTCTTGCTGCCAACGCTGCTGCTTGTGCTGAACAAGATGAAGGGGTCAATGAGCTCTGGCGTGCTAAGCCAATGCGTGTGGGATTCTCGCTTGCGGCGCTTGTTTGTCAGTGCATTGGGCTGGTGGGACATTTTCTGTTATTTGTACGCGCGTGTGTGGATACGAAGAGGTATAGGAGAGTGAGTGCGGCGAGGCGTATTGAGGAATTGGCGGGGGACAGGCTGAGGGAGACGAGTCCATTCAAGGTTAAAGGGTAGCGGGGCAAGACAATATCGCGATTCAAGTGAAGTTGAAGGGATTTGGGACCGGGTTTGTGGGAGAAAGTGCGTTGAAATTTGGGTAACAAGGTTAGAGACCGTGTCATCAAATGCGAATGTATATCACACATCATAAAAGGCGCTTTATTATGCCTTCTAGTCTGAACCCGTTCACTACACTGAAGTTTAATGGAACTTGTCGTGTCTTGTTCCAACCTATCTTCTCTGAATTTTGGAAATCTATTGCTGACAGACAGTCCTCCTTCCAGTCTCCATTATTGGAGATTGAAGATTCGCAAGGAACTGTCATCACTGGCCACCGCAAGCTGCTGACCGTCCAACTGGCCGGGTCTCCACGCAATCTGATTGATCGTCTTCGCCGGCAACAATCCCGCATCACCGACATGCACTTCAATCCCATCAAACGCATCTACAGGCGTACGCGCGATACAAATTTCCCCACCCTCCGTCCCAAATGCAAACTGCAGGTACGCACTCGCAGAGGGACTTTGATTACACGCAACCGCAGTCACAGCCGCATTCGCCGCCACAGAACCCACCAGCACCACCTCAGGTCCCTCGACCCGCCAAATCCTAACCATCTTGTCCCTTCCCGCCGTCAGAAACGTCGGCTTCTCCAGGGGGGCCCAGGAAGCGGCGAGAATCATTCGCGTATGGGCTTTTGGGTTTGCGTGCGCCAGCTGATACATGGAAGCTGCTTGGTTTCGCTCCCAGAGGACCCACTGTCTGTCTCGGCCCACGCTGAGCAGATACTTGTCGTCGGGGGAGAATTGTAATGCGGTGACGGTGAGGGAATGTGCTTTTAGTGCGGGTTTGACTTCGAGCCAGTCTTTTGTGTCGTATAGGCGGATGACGGCGTGGTCGATTGAACTGGCACGACATGCGGTTGCGACGAGCGTGGCATGGCGACTTACAGCCGCGGCGGAGATTTCGTAGCCGTGGCCGTAGAGTTTCTCTGTTTCGGGCCAGAGCAGATGGCGTGCTAGATGGTCTTCAAAGGGTGGGTGGTTGAATTGCAAAGTGGATTTTCGAATTACGGAGGAGGGGTCGATGGCTTCGGCGTCGTCTTCGTCGGCGTTTTGAAGGGGCTCGTCGTCGCCGATGGCTTGGATGGCCTTGTTGGAGAGGCCGAGGACGGGGATGTTGGCTGCGTCGGGGAGGTTGGCGGATGGAGAGGTTTTGATGTGGCAGAGGGAGTCCAGTATATCTGCGACACCTTTTGGCTCATCGAAGACGCGGAGTAGCTTCTCGTCTGCGCCGGAGATGAACTGTGTGTTTGTGACTACCTCGACACAGTTAAGATCGTAGCCGTGGATCTGGGGCCGTGAGAACTCATGCCATGAGGAGGCAAAGCCGTCGCGTTTCCACTGCGAGTACAGTCTTGTTGTCTGGTCTGAACTCGTTGAGAGAAGATACGACCCATCCCTGGCCCAGCTGACGCCTCTGACTGGACGTACATGACCCGTTATCGCGACTTGCTGTGCCCACATGTCTTCTGCAGTCGAGTACGTCCACTTCCTCCAACTACCAGTACGACCGAGTGATACCACAGAGTTACCATCCGGCGACCAAAGTCCGATCCAGAAACCTCCCGCGCTGCCAGTAGCGCTCGTCGAGCCTTTCTGCGCGCTGATCTCGCCGAGTCGGGTGATACAGATCCAAACACCAGAGCTAGGGTCAGATTGCCATATTGCCAGTGAGTTATCCTCAGACGTTGTGAGCAGTTGTAACTTGCCACCTCTGTGTCGCCATGAGGCCTGGTAGATCCAATCTTCGTGTCCAAGGAGAAGGGCCTCAAAAGTCACCGAATATTTGGAAATCACCGTACTAAACCAGTGAGCCTTGTTGGACAAGGATTTGCCCATGCCGCCCAGAGCAGGATCACTAAGCGCACTGCTAACAACGGGCAGCTCATCCCCACCGTGAAGTCTCCAGAGGCGAATGTATTTGTCCTGACTCGCTGAGGCAAGTAGCAAATCGCTTTTGGGGTCAGATGTTTCTCTTGTGAAATCAAGGGCGCGGATCCAGCCTTCGTGACCTGTGAGCGTGGCGGATAAACGAAATTCATCTTCTTTTGACACGAAGATCTGAATAGTGCTTCGTGTGCCAGCGGTTGCTAGGACGGTAGATTTGCTGTCTAACGCCGCGAGAGCAAGGTTCAGAGGGAAATATTTGGGGGAAAGCACGATAGTCTGAGTGAGCTTGACATCTATTGAGGAGAAGCCGGGGTCATGAGCAAGTTGCCATATTTTTATCGAGCCGTCTGATGATCCAGTTGCGATGATGTTCGAACCAGGTAGAGTTGCGATCCTTGTGATTGGGCCAGTGTGATCAGTGATAGTGATGACACACTCGAACTTTGCAAAGCTATGTCCTTGACTGCGCCATATTCGGATGGTATTGTCTGCTGATCCACTGAGAAGGATGGAGACATCTGCTGTGCCCGTGGAGTAGAATTTGACTGCATTGACGGCCTTGGTATGACCACTCAGTACTGCTTGGACGCCGGGTAATTTGCCATTCTTTTCTCATCAGCAAGTCGACCACGTGCAAGAGATCAAACTCACTTGAGGATCCCAAAGGGCGACGCAGTCATCGGCACCAAAAGCCAACAGCTGGCTACCACCTTCATCCCAATCAGCGGCAGCAGGATTCCGATTCCCACCTGTGGAAATGAAGTCGGAAGATAGCTTCATTTTTAATGACGATGCGGTCGGCTGGTATACCTACCTACATGTAGTAGTCATTCCTTTCGAGGATTTCTTTGACACTAACGTCGCTTAGTTGGCCTGATGCGGTATAGAACGAGAGGCAGGCTTTGGGTGCATCTGCGCAGCTTTACTACACCCACGAGTGATAGCCGTGGAGAGACTGCGCAGGTGCTGCCCCAATGTCAGACATGCAGAATGATACGATTCCGATAACTATCGAATTCAGGTAATGGTGTCTCAGTCTGCGAACCCAACGTCCACCACTTACACCACACATGTAGCGGCGGGCTGGAGATGCTGTTCGCGAACCAAAAGAGACATACACTTGCAATGCCCACGCAGGACGAAGCAGGAAAACCAGCAAACATTGCATTCCTCGTACGCCATCTGTGCGACAAGGTCATGAAGGACCCCAGGAAAGACTTGTTCGTCCTGGATGGCACTGTGTACGTTTAAATTTGCTCATCAGCTGATGTCCACTTACACACGCTAAACTCAATCATTAGACGTCCCGGCATCTTAGTCCTGATCAACGAGGCGGATTGGGAATTGGAAGGAGAGGACGAGTATGAACTAGGGAAAAACGACCATATCATGTTTGTGTCTACCTTACATGGCGGCTAGAAGTGAATAGCGTCTGATTTGGTTGTCAATGAAGCCAGGAATGAAATATCTCTCTCATGGCTAGATGTGGGCTTCCCACTTCTACACACAACACAGTAACTACCAAGATGCTACGATAGTATGTACATACCCGCATCAGTACTATATTATGCAAGGAAAGAGGATGAAAGAGTCACTGCAGTCCCTGTACACGTGTCGCGGTGCTTACGACGCTCGACCGTGTGTCATCCACCGTCAGACTGGGGTGAAACGTGTTCTGATCATACATCCGACAACCTCCATACTTCATGGCTTCTGCCTGGCCTTGGCAAGTAGAGAAGATGCAGAGACATGACGTCGTGTACTGACTTTGACGAGGACTAGTGGCACGATAGAAACAGGATACTCTGCGTATGCGGAGCAAGCAGTTCTGACGGCGGAGTTTTCGGTGGAACAGTTCTGCCGGAAGCATCCGGCAACGGACCAACTACCGTACCGCTACCTACCTAGTACTGTAAGTAGGTGTGTGAGAGCTGGACGGGGCATTTTGGTTTATGCAGAGTCGAACCTACTTCTAAAATATGTACCAGTACCGCCGGTGCGATAGGTAAGCTTGAGAGGCTTGGACAGCAAAGAGAATGAAAGCACCAAGCCTGGGCCTCGCGGGTCTGGTCAGGATGTCCGGGTGCTCGTGCTTTCCCGCCAAGCTCCGAGCACGTGCTTTCGCGATGGCCCGCGCGTGTCACCGCTCCAGGTTCACGTCGCGCTCTTTGCTTTTGCTGGCTCGCTCAGAGCCGCCTCACATCACTAAATCTACACATGCCCCCAGACCCAACATGTCCGAGTCCGATGAGGAAGCAGACTTGAAGCGAGCGTTGGCCATGTCATTGGGCCACCACTCGACAGGGGAAGAAGATGAAGAAGATCTTGCACAAGCAATTGCGCTCTCGCTTCAAGAGAGCGAACAGCAGGTCGGCCCGAAGTCTCCCGTGGGCATATCAAACCGTGTGACGACACAGGTTGAGCAAAGTGATGAAGCCTCCACTGCTGTGGGGGCATCCCTATCGAATTCTGATGCTTTCTCCAGAGGTCTCGGTGGGATGGACCGCAAAGCAATGGAGGAGGAGCGTCTCGCAAGGCAAAGGAAGCGCAAACACATTTCATCTCCTGAACAGCCTGTCAAACGTTTGACACCCGCGTCCGATGGAACAGAAAAGCAGAAGAACAAAATCGCTGCTCAGTCATCACCATCGGTCGTACTGCAGTATCCCAGAGGGGCCATCAAACGTACTTTTGCACACGCATATCCACGAACAAACGACATCAGCATTGACGAGCTGTTACAAACACCCAGCATTCACATGGCCGTCATTAGTTCTTTCATGTGGGACGCAGATTGGTTGCACAAGAAACTAGATCCTATCAAGGTCAAGCAGATATGGGTGATGAATGCCAAGGGCAAAGATGTCCAGAAGAGGTGGTTACAAGAAATGAAGGACACCGGCGTCCCGAATCTCACACTCCACTTTCCGCCCATGCATGGTATGATCCAGAGCATGCATAGCAAATTCCTCCTGCTCTTCGGCAAGAAAAAGCTACGGTTTGCTGTACCTACTGCTAATATGACTTGCATTGATTGGGGGGAGGTTGCGAATGATTGGCAGCCAGGAGTCATGGAGAACTCTGTGTTTCTAATTGATCTTCCTCGACTCGCAGATGGCGTTTCCGCAGATCACGCCAAGCTTACAAAGTTTGGAAAAGAGCTCATCTACTTTTTGGAGCAGCAGGAATTACCGCGCAAAGTCATTGATGGGGTGTTGAATTTCGACTTCTCAGAGACTGCTCACCTTGCATTTGTGCACTCCATGTAAGTTGAACATGATGTGCAGCGCGCCGCGAAGTTGGACTTGTCTAATAACGATAGTGGCGGTAGCCATGACCCGACGACTGCTCATCCAACAGGTCTGCCGGGCCTTGCAGCAGCCGTGCGTGGCTTAAATCTTGGAAACGTGAATAATCTGGAAATCGACTATGCAGCCTCCTCGATCGGTGCTGTAAATGACAACCTCCTGCAACAGCTGCATATGGCTGCACGGGGAAAAGACTCTCCTCCTGTGTGGCCAAATGGCTAGACCAGTTTAAGCAGCTCAGAC